AAACTTCTGTGAGAAGCAAACAAAAATCTTACAAAACATGTTAGCAGTCTTCCCTGCAGTAGTTGGAAATACCTCAAATAATGAAAATGACTGATACTTTCTGAGTGATTGGTGATGTTTCTGAACCTAGTTTCCAGGTAGCAAATAGAGTTACAGATGGTCTAGGACAAATGTTGTAGTAACAGGCCAACAGTTTTATTTTAATAAAAGTCAGACCTGTTAATGCCTATTAAAAAAAATAATGTGTGTCAAACTCCTAATTTCAGTTATCAGTGCTTTAGCGAAAAGCCAAAGTTGATTAAGCTTTTAAAAAGTGAGTTGACTTGAAATAAAATATACTGCATTTAATAAAACAAATGTTATTAGGGTATAGCAAGAATTGGAAAGATGACTCAAGAATGCTTGCAATTTGGGGAAAACTGATATAATTGATAGATTTGAGGACACACTAACCCCAGACTGTTTCTTCTAAGGTGGTTATTGTTTAACTCAGTGTCTAACAGGAAATTGTTCTTGTAAGGTTGACACATTTTGTCCTCAGGGTGGAGTGCTTTAAAAACCCCTGTGGTTAACTGAGGACGAAACTTTCTTAGATTCTAATTAATTCTAATATCCGGATAGTGTATTATTCTTCAAGAATCTACGTGTAGATTAAACTTAATTTTATAGGGTCCCCACGCTCCCACGGTCCTGACCAACTGATATCCTTTTCAGAGAACCGTACATGAAGGGAAAGTAATTTTCTAGTAACCACTTGTTCCTGCTTTCTAGCCCCACTTGGGTCTTTCCATTTTGAAAGTCAACATGTTTGCTGTAGCCACAGGAAGCCTGCAAATGTGGCTTCTTCCTAGGTTGCTCACTTACATCCAGACACACACACACAATTTTATGCAGTTACTTCTCACCTCTTGATCTCAGCTCAGTGAACCCCGCCTCCTCAGGGACGGGGTCACATCCCTCTGTCCTGCAATCACATTGCACCCTCTTCTCCTTTGTGGCACTTATCCTGACAAAGGTTCAATAAGTATTTTTTTGATTCAATGAATAACTGGTTAATTGACCCCTAACAATAAAAATGGAATTTGCTAAAGATGGGGTTTAGCTGAGTTCATTAAAATGTAAAAGCAAAGAACTAGGGTTAATTGAAAACATGAGCCAGGCAAGATAGAGAAAGTTTGGGAATAAGAACAGAATTTCTTAGCAAACTCTAATTAACCCAGTATTTTAGACTAATGGTCCACCGTATAGAAATACTCCTCCCCACACACACCCCATCTAGGGGACATTCTGCCCAGTGGAAAAGTGATATTGGTGCCAGAGAGGATTACTGTCTCAAGCCAGAGGTGATCTGAGTGTTCATTAGCAAAATAAGATAATCCCCAAGTTTATTGTTAGTGGAAGGTGCCATTTCGGGAAAATTAGAATGAGAGAGAGATTTTACAATCGGAAGGACCTTGGAGAGTTGCTTCAGATATGCCCCTCCCTTTCTGAAAGCAGTAATAAACCACACCTCAGATAAAAGAATTGCACAATCCCCCTTTGTTTCCTGTTCTACTTTTGGAAAGAAGTGGCTTCTCTGGAGCAAAGGGGAAGCAGTGGGTTACGGAGCTGCCTCCCCCGTCTTGGTCCGTCCAGCCCATTCTCGTGTGCTTCACGCGGCCTGGGGCCCACAGCTCTGCTGGCCTCTTCCCTGCCCAACACCCTCCAGGACTTCTTACTCTCAGCGTAATAAATAGCTCTAACAGGCCACCTCGCCCTTGCCTGCCTCTCCACCCTCACCTTTTGCTACTCTTTGTCCCCTACTTCATGGCCTCTATAGGACAGTCCTATGAACTTTCTAGAACCAGATCTTCTACCTGGAACACCCTTCCACAACCTCCTACCTAGCTAACTGTGTACACATACACATACGCATATATGTATACACACACATATACATACACACCATTGAAGTGTCTTGCCCCTTAACCCATAACTACTTTAGGATGGATTTCCTGCAAACAAGAGCCATTTCTTTCTTTTCTTTTTGTTTCTTCTTAGTATATATTGATCATCTGCTTTGTGAAAGGTCGTATGCAAGCTGCTACAGATAATACAATAGGCATGATATATGGCCCCTTCCTTCAGATTCTTTGTTTCAAATGACTAATAAAAAAGAGCTTATTTACTAAATTCATATATATTATTATTTAATTAAGTACTGACTAAATATAGCCAATTGCCTAAAAGGCTGGATCAGGTAATACATGTATGCGTGGGGACAAGAAGTAAGATTTCAATGAGTGCAGGAGTTAGGAAATGACACTAAAGTCAACTTAAGGGAAAGCAGAGCTGAGATGGTTTACTGTTGACATCATCTGAGTACCTACCTCTAACCATACTTAAATATAATCTGGCTAAATAAGTCAATCAGTTTCCTTCCTCCCCTTGTTTTTCTTTAGCTTCTTCTTGCTTATCTCTTTGTTGCTTTTTATTTTTTATTAATTTGTATTGGAGTATACTTGCTTTACGATGTTGTGTTAGTTTCTGCTATACAGCAAAGTGAATCAGCTATACGTATACATATTCCCCTCTTTTTTGGATTTCCTTCCCATTTAGGTCACAGCAGAGCACTGAGTAGAGTTCCCTGTGCTATACAGTAGGTTCTCATTAGTTATCTATTTTATACATAGTACTGTACATATGTCAATCCCGATCTCCCCATTCATCCCACCCCACCCCCTTCCGCTCTTGGTTTCCATATGTTAAGAACAATTTCTTATATAACCACCATGTAATTATCACAATCAGAAGATTTAACATTATTAAGATCCTGTTTCTAATCCACATTTCATATTTAAATTTTTCCCATTGTCCAATAATGTCTTTTATACCTATTGTATCTCCCCCTGTCCAGGAGCCAGTCCAGGATCACACATTACTCTTAGTTGTCATACCTTTTTAGCCTTCTTTAATCAGAAGCAGTTCCTCTGCTTTTCTTTGACCTTTGACATTTGAACAACCTAAGCCAGTAATTCTGGAGACCAGCCCCCAGGTTGAGACTTTTCAATGTTTCCTTGTGACTACCACAGAAGTGACGTTCTTCTCAGTATATCGTATCAGGAGACCCTACATATCCAGTTGTCCCAAAATGGGTGATGTTTGCTTTGATCTCTTGGGTAAGGTGGTGTCTGCCACATTTCTCCACTACAAAGTGATTCTTTTTTTTTTTCTTTAACCATCGTAATTAATAATTTGAAGGAAAGATACTTTGAAACTATGCAAATATTCAGTTCCTCAGCAAACTTCATCCACTTGTTTGGCATCCACTTTATATCTGCTTTGCTTTTAAGTAAGCTCATTTTACACTGTTAATAAAGAAAAGAAAAGAATATAATGTGATAAGTGGACTTTCTCCATTGCCCCACCTAACATACCTACATCTCCCGTGTCAATCCAGTCTTCCTTTATGAAGACCTTATCACGTAAAATTGACAGACATCTGATATGTATGGCATTAGCCAAGGCAAGATTTCTTGTTTGCATTTTCCACTCTATTCATGAATGATCTTTTCATTTTCTTTTCTTTTATAATAATAATATTTTTAAAAAAGAATCCGTGAAAGGGGCATTTATTTTAATAATGAGAAAGAAGATATACATTATTATTTCGGGCTTACCACATGTCATAATATTGCTTTTGTCTCATTATGATGGGCATTAGTAATTGCATTTACTTTTTTTCATGCTTGATACAAGGGCTCACTTAAGACTCTGAAGAGCTTCTTTCAGCCTTGGGGTCTGTGCATGAGAAATCATTTGGGTTCATTAAAGTCATGAGGAGAATTAGGGTAAGGGTCAGATCATAGGAGCATCAGGAGGGTAAAATATTACCATTTAAATGAGAAATGGAACTTCTCCTTTAGTGAATCACATTTTCAATGACAGATGGGGTTGCTCACTGTGAGATTAATCATGGCTGACATTCACTCATCCATTATATTCAAAAGAAAATCATCCTGCAAGCCTACTAAGTGAAAAGCAAACTATCTACAACTTCTAACCTTATAAAGTATGTATTTGAATTAATTCTACTGGGTCTCTAAGCAAGATTTGGCCAAAAGGAACCTTGAGAGCTTGCTTATAGGTTCTATTAAAAGAGCTCAGAAACTGGAATATCCTAGATAAAGCAGCCTCCTTCCTCCATCTAGGACTAAGGGCTCAGTTTCAGAAACCACCAAATGGAATGGCAAGAAAGAAAGGGGTCTCCAACCCTCACCCCCAGACAACCAGATCAGGAAAAGCCCACGGCGTTCATGGAACTGCATTCAGTGCAGTCCAGTCACCTCAGACCCAAATTTCCTAGGAAAGAGACTTTCTCCTGTTTCACCAATCACTCTCGCGTGAGGTTCTGACCACAAATGAGCTTCTCTGAAATATCATCAGTATCAGAAAACTTTAGAGCGAGGGAAAACCTAGAGAATAAACAGCTTTCCCTTTAAGACATGTCTCCACTTACTCTTTATACTGTCCAACTTGTTCCTCACAAAAGGCTTGTGAAAAAAATTAGAGTAAGACTAGATCTCCTCATACTCTGGTGAGGACACAACCCCAGCCAGGTGAAGAGGCAGTTTGGAGTCAGGAATGAACCAGAGCTAGAATTCTGAGCCCTGGGTTCACAGTCCTCCAGGCCACACTTTTGCCCCAACGAGGTCATATACACCCTCTCCATACCATCCCCCAGCTGAAATGCTTTCATGGCACTTATCAGAGCGTTAGTTGTATTTTATTTATATGATCATTTGTTTAATGTGTCTCACTCTAGAATGTATGGATTATAGGGATTGAACATATTTTTCTCACCTCGTGTGCCACAGTCTACCTTGGATGGTTGGGTGGACAAGTGGATGAGCCCATATGCCACCCGTGTGTCCTAAACATAGCCACACCTTGTGTTGACAAGCCTCATATTTCTCCTGACCATGGTGACTTCATGTCCTTTCTCAGATCGTAGCTTGCTGCCAGACATGGCCCTCTCAGTGGACTCGTCTTGGTACCGGTGGCAGTGGCGAGTCAGAGATGGCCTCCCACAGTCTCCATCAGAAGCCACACCACTGCTGTCCCCAGAGGAGGGGGCGCAGAACTACAACCTGGCACAGCAGCGGGTCGTGTTCCCCAACAACAACGTATTCCACCAGGATTGGGCCAAGGTCTCCAGAAGATACTCTGGCAACAGAATCTGCACCACCAAGTATACCCTCTTCACCTTCCTGCCCCAGAATCTCTTGGAGCAGTTTCACAGGTATACGACCACTTGGCTGAACAGTACACACTTTATAGCCAAGTATTTGCCACTCAGATGAACTCAGAAATGCTACCCTCTGGGCCAAATGCGTGTACCTTAAGAGGCTTTGTCATTCATTCATTCATTCATTCATTCAGTATTTATCAGATTCTACTCTGTTAAGTCATGTGTTGTGTATTAGAGATACACGAGCGAAAAAAGAAAGACACATTGTCCTGACTATATTGGCTAGTGAAAGAGACAGATATTAATTTTAGGAATTATGTAAATTGGTGTAAACTATAATTCAGACAGATACTTCCAAGGAGAAGTATATGGTGCTATTAGAGTGAGTACAAGAGAAATCGGGCCTAGTTAGGAAAGTCAAGGAAGACTTCTAGGAGGAAGTAACTGTGGAAGTCTAATATGAAAGAAGAGAATGTGTTAACTAGGTGGAAAGAGGCAGAGAGAAGTCAGAGAAGGGAGCCAGAAGAATGTTCTTTCAAACAGAACTTCATGTGCAAAGGCACAGTGGCAAGAGGGAGAAAGATGCACTTGGAAAACGTAAAAGTGCAAGCCACTCTTTTGAGATAATATATGCAAAATTATCTTTTAACTATAAAGCAAAATATGCACCTAGACATTATCCTAAGTTTTGTAATTATCAACACCTACCATTTATTGAGCAACTACTATACTCTGGAACCCTCCACTGCATACATAACAAATATTCATCCCATGTAATATTTATAGGAGCCCTTTAAAGTAGATAGTACTATCTCCATTTTAAATGGATTTGACTTTAAAGCCCTTACCATGATGTTCGAGGTGACACTGAAAGAGCATGTCATTTTTAGTTGGCAAGGGCTAATAGTAGGGAAGCAGTAATGCGGCAAGTATATTTCTCTTCTCCACGGTTTTCATTCATACCTTGCTTGCCCCTTCCAGATGGGCTAACCTCTATTTCCTGTTCCTGGTGATTCTGAACTGGATGCCCTCCATGGAAGTCTTTCACAGGGAAATCACCATGTTACCGTTGGCCATTGTCCTGTTCATCACCATGGTCAAGGATGGCATAGAGGACTTCAAGAGACACCGCCTTGATAGAGAGATAAACTGCTCCAACATCCAGATATATGAAAGGTAAGGGAAATCATTCCTCTGTTTTCTCTGTGGCAAATAGATTATGCAAACTTATCAGTGTTTTCAAAAAATTGGTCTCTCTTCTCACATTAATTTTCTTCAATTCATTTAATTCAGTGATACTCAACCAGGGCAATTTTGCCCTGCCAGGAACTTTTGACAATGTCTGCAGATGTTTTTGGTTGCGATATCGGGAAGGAGGTTGCTACTGGCATTTAGTGAGTAAAAGCCAAGGATGATGCTAAACATCTTACAATATACGGGACAACCTTCCACAACAAAGAATTATGATCCAGCCCAAAATGTCAATAGTCAATAGTTAAATTAAAGAAACCTTTGATTTAACTCATGTAAGTGCCATAAGAGCAGGGTTGAAACCTCAAGAATTAAACTCTAAAATTGACTGAATCATCTCAGGAGACCAAGTTCAGGATCAGCTCTTTGGAGAGTGACAGGCAATGTCTCCCAAACAGGAAAATGTATACCGTTTTTAAAGCATCTGTGGCTCTTGGCTAAAAATCCTTGCTTTTAGAACTTAGCCAGGTAGGTTTTAGGACCCAGAGTTGGCACACCTGTTCTTGGTTGCCTGGGGTGGAAAAGGAAGCTACCTGTGGGTGACGTCTGCATTCCAACAGGTGGAGTTTCAACACATAGAAGGAAGTGACCTGGTGGATACACACCTGTTCTCTGCAAGCTCTTTCCTTGTCATACTTCTCCCCTAGTGTTTATACACCGGCTTTTTATTTTTACTTTTCCTTTTGAAAGAAGAGAGAACTGTTCAGTGAACAAAGCGAGTACAAGATGTCAGGAACATCACTCGCTGACAGCTGAACAATGGAACTGATCAGGGAAGAACCTGTTTTATGGGGAGCTCAAGTGTCCTGCTATGAGAATTAAAGAGACGGGATTGAGCAGAGATGAGAAAGCAAGGCAAGAAAAGGCTGAAAAGGAAAGAAGACAGGAAACGAGTGGTGGTCTCCAACCTGCCCTTTGAAGGATGGTCCCACAAAGAGAACCCCAACAGACATTATCATGGGAATCAAATTAAGACCAGCAAGTACACTCTGTTGTCCTTCATACCCAAGAACCTCTTTGAGCAGCTACACCGGTTTGCCAATTTCTATTTTGTGGGCATTGTGGTTCTGAATTTTATCCCCGTGGTCAATGCTTTCCAGCCTGAGGTGAGCATGATACCAATCTGTATCATCCTGACGGTCACTGCCATCAAGGATGCTTGGGAAGACCTCCGGAGGTACAAATCCGATACAGTGATCAATAACCGAGAGTGCCTCGTCTATAGCAGGTAAAACGAAACACCCGGGGAAGTCTCGGCCCCAGCTCTGATCTTTCTGTGGCTGCTGCCACCGCAGGTGCTGTTTATAGAAGGATGGGGGTAGGAAGATAGCATCGCTTTATCGCAGTGAAGCTGTTCAATTCTCCACAATGGGGATTATGGTTTAAAACCAAAAAACATAAAACAAAAGAAATTGAGGCTTGAGTCAATCGTTCATTAAAATTAGGAGGTCTTTATTATGTGACATTTTCTTTGCTGTTTCAAATGTGTTAGACATGTAAGAGTTTTGCATAAATTCACAACCATTTTAGGTCCAGTGTGGCCATGAGCACACTGGAGCAGGTTTGGAGACCCTTGGAGAAAAGTGGCATCACTGTTTTTCAGGGAAGCAGTAGGCAGTGTATTAGGAGAACCAGCCCTTGAGACACACTGCCTGGATTGAACGCTGTCTCAATCAATCGTTAACTCTGTGACCTTAGGCAAGTGACCTAACCTCTCTGAGACTCATTTTGTCCCTCGTAAAATTGGAACACTTCCTGAGGTGGTCGTGAGAATTGCATGGGATAATCCTTGGAAAGTACTTAGCACTGCTCCTGAGGTATGATAAATACTCAGTATGCAAACTGTAATTGCTTTATTTTTAGAATGTGAAACTTACATTAGCTCGATCAAGACTGTCCTTAAGCTTTCTCTCTGATATCCCAACCCAAACAAAAATGGCTCACCACCTGTCTTGCCATGTACTTTAACATAATTTTATACCTGTCGTTGTCTTAGAAAGACTCCATTGAGTCAAAAACCAAACTGGGTTGTTAGGAAAAGGAGACGCTCTCGATCAGTAAGGGAAGAAAACAGAGTTACCGTGTGTCCCAACTTTGTGACAATTTACGTAGCCCAGAAAGAAGCAAGGGAATGGAGGCTGGGCTTGCAGTGAGATTGCGGTGACAAAGAGTGCTTTCTGGGCTGGCGATAAGAAACTTTGGATGAGTCAGTCACTTAGATGAATACAGCAGGTAGGGGCTTGACTTCCTGCCAGATAAGGGAAAAAGTCCATCTCTCTCAAGAAGCACCATCCCTCTGACTTGTTCCCCCTGACCTTATGGACCCCAAGACGTTCTGCAGTTGCTCTGGTCCTTCTTAGAGTGAAAGGGGCTTGCTCCCATGTGTGCCCTACAGCTGTTTAGGGGCTGCTTCTTTCTAAGAAGTTCTCTTCCCCGGGGGAGAACATGGAGCTTATGACTTGGAGCAGGCTGATGATGGTTTATGAGCCAGACTCCACTCGGAAAATTGTAGCCTGGGGAAGCTTCTAAGGAGATCATGTAATGCAAGGGACTCAGCTGTCTCCAGGGCACCCCTAAGAGAACTTCCGTACCTTCTCCTCAGCAAAAGATGAGCTTCTGTTCTGTTTGCCTACAGGACCAAAATTGCACATCTAAAAATATTAATCTGAAGGTTTGGGTTTTTTTCTTTTTTCAGCTGGATCTAATTGTCTTGAGTATTGTTAGCACACTGAATACCTAGAGTTGAGATTGAGTCATTCCTCACCTTTGAGTAAGGAAATTATAAAGAGAGAAAAAAAAAAAAAACCTGTTGGAGTGTGCCGCCTTTCCTAAAGAGACTGATTTTTTAAGAAAACATTGTTTTTCTCTTGTCACCAATCCACCCCATCACTCTTTGTTTTCTGTCTTTCTCCTTTGTTGTTTTTCTCATAGAAGATGCACAGTGGGACTGGTTCCTTGGGGAGGGATACAGGTGGACCTCAGTGAGCCTGGTTCTCTTCTCCCTGCTTTGCCAGAAATCCTCTACCCTGAGCATCCCAGAAAAATTGGCCTGTTCTTGGGGATAATCTCAGTGTCAATCAGATCACAGACTGACCTGTGCTGGGTGCTGGCCTGATACACGCCAGGCTGTTGTCATTCTGTTCTCAAAATAGCTTCCGGGAAAATGGCAGAAAACTGAGGAGATAACAATCCAGAAAAAAGAGACATTTATCCCCAGGCTCACTGGTAGGGAGGGACATACAGGTTTTTTATTTTTTTAAAACAAATAATATTATTTATTTCTTAATAATATAATTTCAGAGAAATCGTTCTAAAATTATTATAGATAAAAGTTTAGTGATAATAATGGGTTTGATCATCTTCACTATTTTGGTGAATCATAGTTTAACAAAGAGAGTATTTGAAAACCAGGTTCTAAGTTCAGTTTATTTCAATACTTGATTATCATAGTTGTCAGGACTGAAAATTTACCTTGGAAAAGCACACATCGGGCTCCCCTGGTGGCACAGTGGTTGAGAATCCACCTGCCAATGCAGGGGACACGGGTTCAAGCCCTGGTCTGGGAAGGTCCCACATGCCGCGGAGCAACTAGGCCCGTGAGCCACAACTACTGAGCCTGCGCGTCTGGAGCTTGTGCTCCACAACAAGAAAGGGCGCGACAATGATAGGCCTGCACACTACGATGAAGAGTGGCCCCTGCTCTCTGCAACTAGAGGAAGCCCTCGCATAGTAATGAAGACCCAACACAGCCAAAAATAAATAAATTAATTGATAAATTAATTTTTTAAAAAAAGAAAAACACACATCATGCAATATGTACTTGGGAAGACTTTATGGTTATTGATAGTGGATATCCAAATTCATATTTTTAATTGAAGTATAATTAATTTACAATGTTGTGTTAGTTTCAAGTATACAGCACGGTGATTCAGTTTTATATATATTCTGTTGTGTCAGTTGAGATGCTCTCTACTGCAAGAAGCAGAAACCTCAACTTAAACAATTTTAACAATGAAGAGACTTTGTTTCTTAAGTCACTACAAATATGCTGAGGTGGGCAGGTGATCAGGCATGGTTCATTCAGCCAGTCGGCGTTCTAGCTGCAGCAGTTAGCTGTCCTTTTCATTCAGTCCCCCTCTGTGTCATCTTTACCCTCAGGTAGATTTCCCTCACAGTAATGAGATGGCTGCAGCAGCTCCAGCCCTCACATCTACATATAATAACCCACAAAGGGAGGAAGAAAAGCACTTCCAGAAGCATTCTTGGAAGGTCCAGGAAGCTTACTCCACAGATCCTCCTCATCTCTCAGTGACCCCAGTGGGTCACGTGCCCATCCCTAAACCAATCCCTCTGAGCAGGAGATGAGATTATGCTGATTAGGTTATACCAGAGCCATAGAGCCCAGCATGAGGTTCACTTCTCTGAAAGCATATGGGCTACACAGGGAAGGTGAAAAATCCAAATTTTAAAAATGAGGTATTTCCAAGAGAAGGAGAAACACATGTTGGAGAGGCCTCCACCATGTTCTCAACATCATCACCTTAAAATATTTTTGAGCCTCGACTCCTAGGGAATTGCTTTCCACATATTAACAGGAGCAGACACACTTTGGGACATTCTGTAATATATATCCTTAAAGTTATTCTAACCGTGAAGTGGATTAATTCTATGAAAAAACCCAGAATAGGAAGATAGAAAATGCTAGATATTATTATCTTAAGTGATGATGCTGAGGGAGCATTTCCTTTTGCCAAACGCTGAAGACATTGGGTTGGCCAAAAAGTTTGTTCGGGTTTGTCATCCCATCTTACTGAAAACCCCAAATGAACTTTTTGACCAACACGATACATGACGGTATGTCAGGCAAAGAATACAAGATCTGAGAGGACAATTTTTTTCTGACAAGCAACATGCAAGCGTATATC